CACCGATCACAACCGTGTTTGGAAGGGGATTTATAGATAGTGCTGAAGTACAAAGCCTAACCTACTGCAGCTCAAACAAGTGTGGAAACAAATGAGAATTAAGCATAGAGGTGAGATCAAAACTATTCTCCACAGTTCTTCTTTTCTTGCTGATAAAACCAACCTCTTGAATTCAACTAGAAAATGGGAACCATCTACTTATAAGACGTTCCACGCACTTAAGATAATGGATGAAATTCACAAGGCGCTTCCATGGTTTGAAAGAAATTCCAAAAGACGAGGAGAAGAGAATAACTCATGTTCCAACAGTTAGTGTAGGATTGCTGACACTATCATCAAGACTTCCATGACCCGGCTCCACTGAGTCTTCAACTGATTATCTTCCTTCTTGAAGAGTTCCCGATTACGGGCCAAGGCTTGCACGTATACCACAAGCAACCACATCTGAATCTTCATCCCGGCCAATACCCCCACAAATTCATTCCATAACTGATTTCTGAACATGCAATAATGGGGAGTCAAGTCTAATTCTGAAGAGAATACCAAGTCTGAATACGAAATCCCCAACTCGGGTCACGTAACAGGGGGAATTCACATTCACAATTTTGAAGAGAATGTTGAAGTTGAATAAGAAAGCCCAACTCAGAACACCTATTATGCATGAGATGTATGGAGTGCATGGTATGCGTGAAAAGACATGTTCATTCATTTCCAATGAACCCTCATGCTTTAAAATTTTTAAACAAATAAGGGATGGAAAAGCTTAGCACGAGGCTCAAAGGTATGATTCCTTGGAAAAGGAATGAACACGTATGCTAAAATGAAGTTAATAGTGCTCATGAACATAAAGATGCGGGCTCATGGTTTCCATCATGACAGATAACCACTGCACTATCTCTGAACTAAGTAATATCACCAGATCAAAGGATCGGAACCAAACTCGGAACACAAGAGATCCAAGTACCATGAAGATCAAAAATAACATGGGATTGAAATCTCCCAATCATAATAGATAACTGCTGAACTTGCTTCTGAATAATCGGATGGAACAAGATCAAAGGTCTGGAACATACACCAAAAGAACCATAGCTACAATCGGAATCATAATCACCATCAGAAACAAAGTCACTAATGGAAACATATGGTCACCGTCAGAACATGATCACCATCAGAACATGGTCATCACTAGAACATGGTCACCACTAGTACCTGTACCTATAAGAAAAATTTTCCCGCCCCACTCAAGGGTGTACTCTATGTCGCGGTAAAGTCAAAGTCCAAATCAGAGTCAAAGAGCTCATCTGTTGGTATCATCATATGATGACACCCATCTGAACCTCCTCTGAAGTCATGGTCTCATGGTCAGATATACAAGACATCCCCCTCATAGCTGCATGGTCACTCTATTCTTAGTTCCTATGAAATTCACTCATAGCATGGGTATGAGTCCTTTTACCTCATGGAACAAGCCACCCACCAAGTAAATTAGAATCCAGCACAACAGATAACCAATATTGAAAGCAATAAAATGCAATGCAAACATATGCTCAGATAAACATGTATAACTGAATAAACTGAAAGCATAGAAAATAAACACCCAAAGAAAAGAAAACAATAGCTAGGATCAACCCAAGATGAACTAGCATTTGGTCAACCATTCCCCAGTGAAGTCGCCAACTGAAACAACCGGCTGAACCGTTATCAGATATAAAATCAAAGAAGTCGCCATCGGACGTCTTTTATCCCACCTAAAGGGAAAGGTAAACATTGAGAAAACATGAAGGGATGAAATCATGGTCTTGATACCGAGAGATAAAGTAAGAGAGTCTATTACACGAGGGGAATGTATTAGCACCCCACACGCCTGCAGTACTATACGATATAAACTCTTACTGTCTATCTTATGAGTGTGGTCAAAGTCTATGTCTAAGGCTTAAGAATTAAAAGAAAATGAAAAGAGGGAATGCATGCAGAAGAGAAGAGAAAATAATGTTGGGAAAATAAAAAGTTGTGCTCGTTCGGGCCCTACCCCAATGCATATGTATCCCTTTTAAGGAATCAGATCAGCCATAGTTTGGCTCATATATTTTGGTTGGTTTGTGTCTTTTAGTTAAAAAGACAAAAGCAACAGTCAAGATGGTAAAACATCAAATAAAAAGACAAAACATCAACGACAACGATAAAACAACAAAAAAGGGATGACAAGACATCACATGGCAACATAAACTCAGATAAGATGATAAAACGTCAGCATGATAACAAAACATCAGACAAGATGATAAAACATTACACCTAACAATGATATCAAAAATCAAAGTACGATAACAAACATGTGCGATGGCGAAACATCAGCAACAAACATATGCGATGGTGAAACATCGATAAAAAGATAGAAATATAACATGGAAAATATGGTGAGACATAAAAAATTCAGATGATAAAACATCACACCTAACAATGATATTGAGAATCAAGGTAGGATAATAAACATACATGATGGTGAAACATCGGCAACAAACATATGTGATGGTGAAACATCGGCTAAAAGGTAGCAAGATAACATGGGAAATATGGCGAGACATCAACCATTCAGATGATAAAACATCATACCTAACAATGATATTGAGAAATAAAGTAGGATAACAAACATATGTGATGGCGAAACATCGACAACAAACACATGTGATGGCGAAACATCGGCTAAAAGGTAGCAAGATAACATGGCAAAGATGGCGAGACATCAACCACTTAGATGATAAAACCTCACACATAACAATGATATCGAAAATCAAAGTAGGATAACAAACATGTGCGATGGCGAAACATCGGAAAAACATATGCGATGGCAAAACAAAGGCTAAAATATAGCAAGATAACATGGAAAAGATGGCGAGACATCAACCATTCAAATGATAAAATATCACACCTAACAATGATATCAAAAATCAAAGTAGGATAACAAACATGTGCAATGGCGAAACATCAGCAAAAACATATGCGATGGCGTAACATCGACTAAAATATAGCAAGGTAACATGGAAAAGATGGCGAGACATCAACAATTTAGATGATAAAACATCACACCTAACAATGATATTGAAAATCAAAGTAGGATAACAAACATGTGCGATGGAGAAACATCGGTAAAAAGATAATAAAATGTCATGGCAAGGATGGAAAACCATCAATTTGACAAGGTTTAAAACAAAGCCAAAAGGCACACAAACAAGTAGGATTGGTTTTTATTTTTACCTTGAAGAAGGATTTAAGTTCATTAGAGACATTTTATGATTTGCCAAGAAGAAGTTTTAGTTTAAAGATGCAATATGCAAAGAAAAGAAAACAACTAAGGGATACTATTCTAATCTCTAGCCCTAATGTTATCATACAGTGATTGATCCTAAGGTTGAGTTTTGAAAAAGGAAATTTCTATCCTAGTGAGCATACATGGATTCCTATCCTAATGTCTAGCTCGCAAGCTATTCTAATCGAGTGATCCTGAGGGAGCATGGTAAATACCAAACAAGTGAGCAAACAAATGCTTTGGCAAAAGCACACAATTGGGGTATACTGACTCAGGGGAGGGGTGTATGAAGAGAAAATGCTTTAGCTAAGGGGAGCAGATCACCCAAAGCAAATAAGCGAGAAACAGATAAAATAAGAAAAATGTGACGTCCAAAGCGACTGAGCACCTAAACAAGATATAGAAGATCAAGGTAGGAGATAGAAGACAATATGAACGATCATAGAGTGTCAGCATCGGCCAATGTGAACTCCTGACAAAGCGTGGAGGTTTGATTGCAAAACCCTTCCCCACTTGACGGACTCGATACATATGATATGCACGACTCTGAAGCATCAACGTACGACGTGAGCTAAGGATGATACGGACTTGAATACATGGGGGTCGATTACAGACCCTCCCTTCTCACCTCCTTTTGAGGACTTATCATCTGTAATATAATGCGGGCACAAATGTAAACACACATGCAGAATACCTACTTTAAAGGTAGGATTTTAAACAACCACATATAGCATATAAAAAACAGTGCCTGCTACAGAACTTTAAACAGCGACTTTGAGAGCATGCTCTTTATTTCTTGGTCCCTACTTCACATGATTTCTAGAAAGTAATAAACGTCCCTACTATACATGATCTCTAGGAAACGGTAAATGCTGAGATGAGATAAACAATAGAAAATACCAAATGGATATTAATCAGTAGCAAAGTGTATCAAAACAAAGAAACCCGAAAATCTTCACGACAACCTCACCACTCAAGGCAAAGAGTCAAAAATCAAATGCTCGGAATAAGTGTCGAAGCATCAACGATGTGAAAATAAATCACAATCGAGATCTGAAGCACATCTGCACATCACATGATAAACCTGCATAATACTCAAATCTCAACAAGCAAAGGTGAATTACGAATCTCAGGCAATCGAATAATTGGGATTTAATTCCTAAAACCAAATAATAAAAAAACTAACAAATTTTTATTGATTTTATAATTTTTTGTCATGAGAAAAATAGAAAAAATATAAACAATTAACAACTTTATTTAACAAAATTGACAAATAATTAAAAAAACAAGGCCCAGGGGGTGAAAGTAGAATCCAAGGTGTTGTATAACAAGCATAAGTTGGCACAGAGGCCCATCAATTCGGTCCAGCAGCATAGTCCAAGGGGAGTTTTTTTTTTTCACAAACCCAACAAGAATACCAAAAAAGGTAAAGGGCCTTAGGAAAACGTAGAACACCTCGGTCCACTAGAAGCAAGATCCATCTCCAACCTTTCAATTCCCAATCAACATTATCTCCTCATCTATATATACGACAAGAGAATAACAGAATAACAATATATGAAGAAATGTAGGAAAAAATAGCAGAACAGTGTCGTATTGGGGTGGATATTAGGGTTCAAGTTTGTGTCCAATGAACTTATCAGAGTATTTCTTCTTCTTCTCTCATCAATGGCCACCGTGCACTATTATTTCTACTTCACTCCGCTGCGGCTCCTCCCATCCATGGCTGATTCATCTTCATAACAAACCTACTCCGTCTATGCCTCTGTTGGCATCTATTGTCACTCATCCCCTTCTTTCTTGATTCGTCCATCTCAAACTCAGTTTCTGGAAACTGTCTGGTGTATCTTCAACATGACACCGACGACGATAAAACTATAGGAAGATGAGGTATGCGTTTTGGTTCTCTTTCTCCCTTTTTGGTTCAATCTCTTCTCTTATTCCACTTACTTATATATTTCGGAATTTGAATTATGGTTACTGTAATGAAGCATGTGAGATGTTCACAATGATGTGCGCTGCTTGTTGCGGATTTGATGAATATGAAGCGGTTACGACGAGTTCGTTCTTGGCGTTGAAGAACATTACAACAAAACTGATGAAGGTGTTATTGACTCGTTGATGCAGAGAGATGAAGATTGGAGATTGAAGAGATATTCAAGAGGTTAAGATGAAGGATGAAAGCAAAGGAAAATGGTGGAAATGGAACGTGAATGCACAGAAAGTGTAGAGTAACAGTGGGAATTTTCTGAGATTTTATTGTGATTCTTCCACGGATTTCAAGAATGGTTGAGAAAATCTAGAGATTAGAAGCAGAGATAAGAGATACGTTTTTCTGATTTTTCTCCCAGAAGAATGGACAGTGAAGATTGAGCGATGGAAGAAGAATGTGAGCAATTATGTTTTTTCAGTTCGTTTGTTAGGAAAAGTTAGTTACAAGAAAATCATTTTCTGCCCCAGGATCTGGAAGTTTGTTATAAAACTCGATGGATGAGATTGATTCTGATTTTGAGGTTTGCTCTGGAAGTTTGTTACTTTGCTGAGCTGTCAAATAATTTTTTGATATTTTTTGTATGGCTTGATATATTTTTCACGGTTTTATTCTTTCACTCTTCTTGATTTTTCTCTTGTCCTCTTTTCCTGATTTTGTGAGCTGGAAACTTCTTGTTTCTGAACTGGTTATTGATCTGATGAAAAAAAAAGAACGGAAAGGATGATGAGGTAGCGATGAAAGATTTGTGAATTTTCCAATCGATCAAGTCCTCTCCTGATAATATCTTTCTGATTTTTTTGAAAGCTTCTTTTCCTCTTCTCTTTCTCCGTATTCTGAAGGGTTTTTGAGTGAGGGAAAATGATGATACCAAAATTAGGGCTTCTATCTTTCTGTTTGTTTTTATTTTTAGATATGTCATAATTTCACTTATTTTTACTGATATGTTGTAGTTTTTGTTGTGAGAACTTTTGCTGTTGGGTTGGACTTGTTTATGTCTTCTTACGGTTTTCAGATTTCTGATATGCTTATGTTGCTTATTTCTGTTATGAACTGTGATGCTATACTGGGATGAGACTTGATTTGTTAATTTCTTGAGATGTTAACTTTACTGCTGAATTTTGCTGCGTTTTAACTTCCTTTTATGAACAAAAAAAAACTTTTTGTGATTTGCAATAGAATTTTTCCCATGATTAGCATTGAAATTATGTTTTTATGAGGCTTTAATGTATGTTTGAATCATTATTTAAAAATACCCTTAATTCTATGATTCTAAACTCAAAGCCCTAATGATGAAACTTGAATAGAAAACTCCTTGAAAACTCTTTTGCTTGTGTTCATGTTCAAGTTTCTTTGATTGTTTGCTAACAATTTTTTTTCTTATTTCATGAGTTGATGATTGATGAGCTTGGAAAGGTGATAAAGGAAGACTTGAAGAAGGAAAGATAAAGTTGAAGAAGATTATGGACAAACTTTAAGATCCATGGTGAAGTTTGGCATAAAGAACATGATGGTTTGAAGAAGCCACAAAAGTTTTATATTCTTAAAACCTTTGTATGAATTATAAGACTAAAGACAAAATTTGTAATAAACTTGTAACTTCAAAGTATAACACTTTAATGAATGATGTTTGAAAAAGTTAGAAACATATTAAACTTGGAGCTTATGCCATGGAAATGACATTTGAAGTTTTAGTTTAGGATTTATACTCTTAAATCTTAATTCTTCCAATTGAAAAGTTTAGAAATTTGGGATGATGAACCATCTCGAAAACAAATGAAATTACATGAATTTAGAATTTTGTCCCTTGTAAACTTAATTCCCAAAAGTCAAATTATGTTTTCAAGCGAAAATCAACGAAAGACTCAATGAAATTTCCTTGTATTCAAGTGTAAAATTGAATTTCCACTTCCTCTCTATTTTGCAACTTTCCATATCCTTTGCAATCTTGAATCAAAATTATTAATGAGATGAAAAACCAAAAGAAACTTCATAAGAATTTTGGAATAAATAATCAAACTTATATTGAATTTGACCAAAATCAAAACCCTTATCCATGCTTTAAACTCCCCAGAAGATCCTTCAAATTACGCATACATCAAACATCTGTATGAGATATCTTGAAGCTTAAACCACACACCAAAAACTTATGTACTTCACTAATAAACCCACTCCGCAAAGAAAAACTTTTATCATCTCCTAAATAGGAAAGTGAACCTTAACTTTTGACCAAAGATAATTTACACTGAAACAAGTTTGGTGTAGAAACTCCAAACCAAAAGAAAACCCTAACTCTGAAATATTCTTGGATATCATGCTTCAAGTTCTTATTCAAATGAAAGGAAAGTCAAATTAGAAGGATACAACATATAAATCATAATCTCCTGATGATCCTTATTTGATGAGTGAAAATGTACCGAGACAATACCCACGATGATGATGCTTCAAGAATTTTGCTTAGATAAGCCTCGATCACTTTAATTGGATAAAACCATAATTTTGAATAATGATTCCTAGAAATGTGATTCCCTTTACAATCAACATAATCTTAAATCTTCTTTATGATCCAATGAGATGGATGAGATATCTTGAGATATGAGATACCTTTGGGACTTGAAAGATCCAGAGGTTAAGATAATAAGGCTCTCCTTGAGAAACTTGTCAGTACAATTAACTTCCAAAGCTTGAGGAAGACTTGATAACCAGAGTACTTTGATCTCATCACAATGTATGAATGCAAAGCAATATGATGTTTATGATGAAACATAAGTCTAAATCAAGAGGGTAAATTTTGGGGTGCAATAGAAGGCAGACAAAGACGAAGACAGATTTGAATATAGTATAAAATTAGACATTGGGTATTTAGTACAAGATCTAACAAGTTTTCTAATGGCAACAAGATCATTTATATCAAAATACAAAATACGACTTTCAAAAATAGAGATATACTTACCTTTCTTATTCTTAAGAGGTTGATCATTCCCCAATTCACATTCCTGATAGTCTTAAGATGTGGACTCATCCCATCCTTTGTGGTGTATTTTCACAAAAATATTCCCTTTCTGAGTCCCGTTTCCTAATTCAAATATGTTTTCGTGAAGTGACTCATTATTTTGTGGCATTTCAATTAGATCATCATTAACATCATTTTTCAGGATTATGATTGTTTTCTACATGCGAAAATGTAGGCTCAAATTTACAAAGTTCCACACTCATAACAGGAGTAGGATCAAATAAAGAAGCATGGCCATTTTCTGTTGGTGAGAAGTATAGGTCTTGAAACTTTGTGTTACATGCAAATATAAATTATTTAAAAAACTCAAGTCCTCGATTTGAAACGAGTCTTCCTTTATATCTCTCCTTTTGAAGATGAGTGTCATAAAAAAGTTTATTTCAAACAATGTAACATCCATGGTGACAAACATTTTCTTGTTTTTTAGATCAAAACATTTATATCCTTTTTGGGTTGGGGATTATCCAACAAAAACACATTTTATATTATATGGTTCAATTTTTCCAACATTTTTATGTTCATTAACAAAATATGTGCCACCACATATTTTTAATGCCAGATCAGTTAAAAGACGAGTACTAGAAAAACATTCTTCAAAGTTGATAAGTATGCAATTGTTAAAACAACTTCGCTCCATAAATAGTTTGGTACTTTATTTGAGAAAAGTATAGCTCTAGAAACCTCTAATAAATGTCAATTTTTTTCTTTTGGCAACTCCATTTTGTTGAGGAGTATTAGGACATGAACTTTGATGTAAAATCCCATTTTTATTGAAAAGAATCATCCAGGACAGTGTTAAAATATTCTTTGCCATTATCACTTCTAAAGACTTGGATATTTGTTTGAAATTGGTTATGCACCATTGTACAATAATTTTTTACTGCCTTACAAACATCTGATTTCCTCTTTAACAAGTACACCCAACATACTCTTGTATGGTCATCTATAAATGATAAACTATTTTTTGAGAGAGAGTGTACTCGTACAGGGCCCCAAACATCATTGTGAGTAATAGAAAAAGTTTTTGATGGTTTATAAGGTTGTATTGAAAATTGGGAGAGATCATGCTTTGCAAACTCACATTCTTCACATTTAAATGAAGAAAAGTTCTTATTATTAAATAACTTAGGAAAAAAGTGTTTTAAGTAACAAAAATTAAGATGACCTACTCTTAAATACCATACCATAATGTTGTCATCCTTATTATTCACAATAGAAAAAGACTCAAAGCAAGAACTTATTATTTTTTAAGGTAGTTGTGATGTATATCCAATGTTAAGGTAGTAGAGTCCTCCACTCTCCTTAGCACTACCAATCACCTTCCCCGAGTTCAAATCATGAAAGACAGTGGGATCGGAAAAATTTAGTTTGAAAATTTATATCTTGGGATAATTTACTGATAGACATTACATTACATGATAAATTTGGAACATGAAGTACATTTTTAAGAGTTAACATTTTGTAGATAACACAATTGACCATTTACCTGCATTGGCTAAAAAGGAGCCTTTTGTGATTTTTATTTTTTGATTACCTGCACATTGACTATATGAAGAGACCAAAGTAGATTCCCCTGTCATGTGATTAGATGAACTTGAATTTACTATCCAAGTATGACTAAGAGGCACACTAATAAATGCATAATCATCCTTTGTTGTTATAGAGCAAGAAGGAGTTGGAGACTCGAGGAGTTTGTACAGTCTGTCTAGATGTTCCGTAGTGAGTGGAAGCTGAGGTGAAGAGATTTTTTTCCCTTGATCAAAATTACTAGCATGAAATGCATGAGCACCTTTCTTCTTCTTCTTCTAGTTAGGAGGTTTTCCTTTAATCTTCCAACAAGTTTCACGCGTATGCCATTCGCGATTGTAGTAATCACACCAAGGAACTTTGTCTAACCTTTTTCCCTCGTAAAGGTTCCTAGTAGAAAAAGTTGAGCCTTCTGATTCAGAGCTTTGTGGTGTCTTTCCATCCATGGTACCTTTTCATACATCATGCCTTCTTATTTCGTGACGAGTTGGAAACGTTATTTTTTCTAAAACTCCACCTCTTACCCTCCCTGTCAAGGTTGTTATTAAGCCCAAC